CTATAAAATGTGATTTGGATTAGATCTGCAGCGTCCTGCTCCGACAACGTCTGTCAACTGGCATGAAGGATGAAAGCTCACTCAGTTTGTACTCGAAGAAAAGAAGATGTCCGGTGGACTGTGTCAATTTGAAGTTCGTATCAAAGCCAAACGGTTGTAGAACAACCGAAATCAAGTGTCGTCTTCTGACGAGATTGACCTACGAATCTCTTTCTCGGTCACTTTTACACTAAGTTTAAGCCTCCACAGCAATGAAGATCAGGTAGGGAATAGAAACCAAAGGAACAATCAACTTCTTGAATCGGGGTAATGAGTTTAAGAGATCGAAAATACCCACTTTGCTTATCTGCACGTATGTCTAGAGTAGGTTTCGAAACTATAACTAATTCATGAATATGAGTTCCAGTCATCCTGAGTCGTATGAGGAGACTAAGGAACGGTAATTGGATTTTCACGTTTTCTCACGCTTCTTTTGAATTTCACATGGCTTTGCCCCACAAAAAGAATTCTCATATGATTGTGGGAAAATTCAACTATTAGTCTTTGATCACCTGCTGAGACCCAAGCTGACTAGGATTATTATTCAAGTCTTAGTAATAGGCTCGAAAGCCTACCTTCTGAACAGCATTTATGACTTGTACATTCCCAAGTCCGCGGTCTGAAGCAGAAAATTATCATGGATACTATGAGAAAGGGCTCCTGACAAGGTTCGTTAATTTAGATCTGCCTGAAACTACGACGAAGTTGCAAAAACCAAGTCAAACCACTTTTAGACAAGTAATTCGATTTCGAGTTGTTAAAATTGCCACTATACACAATATCTTACTTAATATTTGGGGAATTTTATTAATCACAATCTGACAGCGTCTGTATCGACCTGTTTAAAAGTAATACATATTTACTACTACTTTCGAAGCATACTCAAATCGAGGAGAATTATCGATATAACATATACGGAAAAAACATAATTTACCGATCGGCATTTTAACTATACTTGTGATTTGACAATAGCGTAGCCTATATGGAAAAATTGGGTTTCGAAGAATATCTCAAAAGAATGATGTTGGGGTACCTTTCAGTTTATACCTTTCTTGCCTTCGTGTTTTGGCGAATTACGTTAAGGATGGTGTCCTGTTCTGACGATGTCCGTCACATGACGAATGAAAGCTCAGCAAAGATTCATCTATTCGCACAAATATACAATCATAGCTCCAAAGCAATCCCCATACAACTTCCGGTGAGACTAATTTACCCATATCTTCCACCAGCCTCTTCAAACGAAATAGAAGGTACTCCAACATCAAAGGCGTAGCCTGCCTTGGGGTTGTGCTGATCCGATGGGGTGGGTCTAAAACATTTTGAAGAGCAAGGCTAGCAGAGATTAATGGTACCGCAGAGCCTACTCGTTTGATTGTGGGACTTACTTCCTTGTCAGTCGTCAAATCTTCCTAAAAAGTCCAGGGTGGCTTAATATATCAAATAGGATTCTCCGTTAGCCTACTCCCTTAGTAATAAGTAGTGTCGAAAGGTTGCGATAACAAATGCAATATTAGATGTATTCACCATATTTCGTTTAATATAAGGAAGTATTTTCCACAATTATATGTGTGGACCTTACGTTTTCATCGAAGTTCACACTGCTTGGCTTCCTAAAAGGAATCCTCATCCCGGCTGGGATGGACTGCAGCTTCGACCTCGCCCGAACTGGTCTCATCAGCACCTCAAGTGAGACTCGAACCCGGGTTGGTTGCAGTGCAACCTTACCCACTACTTTCTTGAAGCGATTTTAGGGATTGTGTTGTGACCAGACTTTTTTTTGCAACTTGGTTGGAGCGACAGTGTGAACTTGTGAAGTATAATTAGTCCTACATCCTCTGTGATATTAATCATGATACCTACAGCATCGGAACGTTGACTTGCTATTTTCCGTGAATTCTCGTCGGCACGATGCTAGAAGTAAGCATAAATACTTTAAAAGAGGACGCAGGACTAATTACCTTCCACAAGGTCTCTCTGTGGCTCCTAGCAAGTTGTAGAAAAAAGAGTCAGTCCAAATCTATGCCGTCAAAGGAAACAGAACATCATAATGGACGCCTCATCAAAAGCTTTAAGGATTTCTATTAATATAAGAGACCGCTTGTATGATTGCGGAAAAATTCAACTATCAATCCTTCATCGCTATACACGAATTAGGGTGAATACAGCTCATATATTTGCTATTGTGGCAAATCTCGAAGACCTACTTATAAACTAAAATAAGTAACATCGTCAATTGTTATAAAAGTGCTGTATTCACACTATTTCGTTGAAAGTTATTCAGGGTGACTAGATGCATTTTCCAACAGTCATGAAAATAGGTCTCACAATTCCATTGAATTTCACATGGTCCTGCTTCCTAGAAGGTATTTTCATTTGGATCGGGCAACCGTTTCGATCTCGCCTGAGCCCGCCTTATCAGCACTGCCAGGGGAACTTGAACCTGAATTGTGGTAACCACCAATTCACATTGCCACGATTGCCCTTGTGTCACGGAACGAAAGTAAATTTCAATGAAGCTTAGGCTCGTTCATCATGTTGAACGAGATGTATCGGATACGGCTTTTATATCAGATCTACCGGAGGTCTCGAAAACCCACCTATAAAAAACGATAAATAAATAATGTAGTCGATTTGAGATGTATTCGCCCTATTTCGTTTAAGGTAGCAGAATTTACCCACAACGATATGAGTAGAGCTGACGTTTCCATTCAATTTCACATTGGCTTGCTTTCCCAAAAGTTGTCTCATATCGGCTGGGGTGGACTGAAATTTCGACCTCGCATTGGTCTTATCATCACCTTCAGCGGGAGTCGAACCTTGGGTCACAGGGCAGATGTGAATTTCAAGGAAGGCCAGGCATTTCGCCATATCACATTCTTTGGTGGGATTGCCGATGAAGCCAACGTATATTTGCTATAACAATCAACTATCTTACTTATTTTTTCGTGTTTGAGTAGAGTTTCGAGACTACCAGTAAAGCAGTCATCACCTTAAACGAAATAAAGGTGAATACATCTCATATTACTGATTTACTGGCAGTCTCGAAACCACACTTAAATACGAAAAATGAGTAACGTAGTCGATTGTTATAACAAATACAACTTTTCTTCGTCGAAAATCCCACGACAGAATGCTGCATGCGGAAATTCACATCTGCTGCATGAGACAAAGCCACTTGTGCCCATGTGGTAGGGATTAACGCATCAAAAGTACATACAGAACATCCACAATCCGGGCTCTAGTCCTGCTGAAGGTGCTTACCTGATTAAGGCGAGGTTCAGACTGCAGTGCAGTTCGGCTAGGATGAGAATATCTTCCGTGAAAGAAAGGATACATCAACTTGAAAGAAAACGTATGATTGTGGAAATATTCACCTACCTGTCCTTCACAATGTGTATACATGATCTTACGGTAATCCCGAGGGCCTACTTATAGAAACTGGAAATAACGATTTGCTAATCGGGATTGTTGACAATCAGCTCATTCTGGCCTTGGGATGTCTGTCAGAGGCTCAACTCATCCGCGTTGGACCGGACTTCAAGCGTCATCTGCAAAGCCCAATCGGTTTCATCTCATACCATCTGAAGCCAGTAGTTAAGGTGCATTTCAAGCGCTCTCATTTCTCGAGATATCCATTAAAGTAAGAAGTACAGTCTGGCAGAAAAGCCGTGTCAGGTGTAGTGTTTATTTGATAGATGGAGGTTGGGGAAAATCACATTTGAGGATTTCGAATGAAAGATTGCGGATTTCGGTGTTAAGCGGTTGCTGGTTTAGTCGGTCCAAAGGACCCATCCATCTGTTATGTACATATTATTGATGTGAAGAGTGCCAGGCATGCTATGTACACTTGACAACTGGCCTAGAGACCGGCTTCTGCGCGCAGCAGGGCCACTTCGGCTTTGAGGGCGGCCACTTGGTCGCGTAGCGCCTCGTTTTCACACTCCAACTGGTCGGCGTATTTGGCCAGTTGGGACTCTTTGCTACGTCGAGCCTGTCGCGAACGTCGCGCTGCTTCGTTGTTGCGCAGCCGTTTCTCCCAGTACTCGGCGTTCTTCAACTCTTGCGGCGTCATGTTGGGATGACGCTTCATGCGCGGGTTGCTGTAGGTCGCCGGACCCACTCGCGGCGGTTGGCTCGCCGTCGAGCCGACCGGTCCGACAGTTGTCGCCGGTCCGCTTGACGACCCGGACCTACGCACCGACAGACTGCGCGGCCGACACGACTCCTCTCCCGTCGGCCCGGACGCAGAAGTCTCGTGGTTGGCCTCTTTCAGACGCCGGCCTCGGACTTGGCCCACGCCGACGGAGTGAGTCAAGGCAACGTTGAACGGCTCGTCTTTGTGCTCGTCTGTCGGCGAGTCAACACCTTCTTTACCGCCATCCTCCGTTTCGCCGGACACCGTTGACGTTGACGTTGACGTTGACGTTGACGTTGATGTCGACGTCGACATTGACGTTGTCGACGCTATCGCCTCAGCTTTGAGCCGACGAGCTCGTCTCGAGCTTGCCGACTGCGCCTCCGGAGAGCTATTCTTCTCCTCCTCCTCCTCTTCCTCATCTGTTGTCTCCTCCTCATCCTCCTCTTCCTCCTCCCCATCTTCATCCTCCTCATCTTCTTCATCTTCCTCCTCCTCCTCCTCCGCATCTTCTTCGTCCTCTTCGTCCTGCTCGTCTTGCTCCGCTGCTGCCTCAACGTCTTCTTGCGTCTTTCGACGGCCGAGCGGCTTGAAGCTGCGTCGCAGCGACTTGCTACGCGAAAGGACGGCCGGCATCGACGTGAACCGACGTCGAGGGCTGTCGGCCGACTCGTCTCTCTTTCGCAGCGTCTCAGCGCCCGGCCTCGAGTCGCGCGATCGCACGCCTCTTGGGCGGCCGGCCGGACTCGAACTCGCCTGCGCGTCGGTCAGCCTCGCCGTCGGCCAAGCCGACGGTCTGCTCGTCGTGTCGGGCACAATCTTGCCGGCGTCCGAGCCCGTCGCCGGTTCGCCGGGACCCGCGTCGACCGGCCTCGACTGGCCCGGACAACCAGAAGAGCACTGCGACGTCGACGAGACGTCATCGCTGACGCCGTTCGTCTCGAGCTCCGAGTCGCGCTTCTCCTTCTCCTTCGCCGTCGCTGTCGCCGTCGCCTTCACCGTCGACGTCGCCGTCGCCATGTCCGCCTCGCCGGCGAAGCAGAGTCGTGAGGCCTGCGCAGCCGAGAACAACGCCGTCGCCGTCGCCGTCGGCATCGCCACCGTCGCGGTTGGCGTCGGTGTCGTCTGGGTCGAAGAGACGCGCGACTCTGACGAGTTGCGGCCGCCGACGCGAGGCCCAACGGCCGGATCGCTCGACTCCGTCGCAGACATGGTACAGCAGCTGGACGAACGTCGACTCGGCCCGACACGGCCGATCAACGTCGCCGTCGCCGTCGCCGTCGCCAAGCCGGAGGTTCGCGGCATCACGCGGCGCTGCAGCTCTTCGCGTTGCGGCTGCAGACCGCGTTTGGCGCCGGCGCCGGTGCCGGGCCCGAGCTCCGGCGAGGCTGACGGGCCAGAGCGGCAGAATTGCGGCTGAAAGAGAACCGCAATCGGTCCCGGCGGCGGCGGCGGTGGCGGCAGATGCGCTTGTCCCGGCGGTTTGATCCCGTCGGGGGTGGACGAAATGGAGTAGGCGGACTCGGACGCCGAGCCCTCGAGAATGGCGTGGAGCAGTCCGGCGTCGTGGAGACGCGTAGAAACGCGCAAGTCGAGCGGCTGCGCGTCATAGTTCGTCTGTCCCGGCGCCGGCGCCGGCGCCGGCGAGGCTCGTTGGGTCAAGTCGAGCGGCGTTTCGCCGCAGCACACGCCAGCCGGACTCGAGCTCAGCGACTTGTGTCTCTGCGCGCCGGCGCCCAGCGGCCTGAGCACG